GTCCCCGCCGCCCGCGCAAAATGGAGGCGTGCGTGCGTGCTTGGGGTGCCCGGGTGCCGCCTGTGTGCCGAAGCGTCTGTTCTGGCCTGGCGGGGCACGGCGGAGGGAGGGAGGGAGGGCTGCCTGCCTGAAGGGTGGCGTGAAAGAGAAAATCCCAGCAGCGCATCCTGAACTTGCATTGTGTTTCGGGTGGCCTGACGTATTTGACAGGGTATCTGGCAGTCCCCGGGCTCTTCAAAGTCACTTGGGTCATTTTTCTAGGGAACGGCGTTGAAGGGAACCACGTACGCGTTTTAGTAACAGGTTGTGCGAATTCTCAGCCGTGTTTGTGTAAACCCGTAAGACATTCCACGTGGGAAACTTTGTTGAAAAAAGAAAACAAAGTATAAATAGGTTAAATGAATATGCTGGGGATAAAGTAGTTAGTAGGACGCAGCTCTGCATGGAGAAGGATAGATGTTGTGCACGCATGTCACCCCGTGGCAGGCAGCATGCAGACTTCAGTGCACATCGAATTGGTCAGAACTCTGATTAAATTGGAATCCTTGAAACGTATCAAAGTGTGGTGACAGCAGTTGGCGTGTGGGTGAGGAACTAACTTGCTAACTGCAGTTCAAGCGATCTTTTCAGAAACGCGGCCAGTTCAGGGGAGCACAGTGCTGCATGAAAGCATCTTAATACTTTAGCGTTTACTGCAGTGCATATTGCAAAATGATTCTCCACCACATTTTATGCTTTTTAAGAAAGAAAATGTTTTAATATACTAGTTGTTTTAGCAAGCCTCCCAAATGCTATTTGAAAATACCTTATGACAAGCTTTGCTTGTGGATCTTTTGTACTTTAAAGCTCGAGAGTTTTTTCCCTGTGAGCAATGCAATAATTTGTCCTGAGTAGCAGTTTACTAAGCTAGTGTCCTCTGGAAATATTAGTCAGATACAGAATTATGGTGTTGTCTTGCATGAGGTGAACCTGAAACATGGGCAGTGTCTTTGGCCAACACAAGAGAACAGAGAGGGCTTTTGGTAGGGCTAGCAGTACGTGTTTACCTCCCGGTTTTCACATTCATTTTCAGGAACAAGCACTACTTCACTATGAAAAAAGTATTTCATGGCTTATTATAGCAGTGAAACAGAGAAAGTCAGGCCCGCTTTTGTAGCGGTGTGTATGGAGCGCTGTAGTAAACAAAGTGACTTTCCAGTTTGAAAACTTCTGGTTTTTTGTGTGGAACACTAGTTCTAACGTTATAAAGGTGTTGGGTGCCGTGGTATCGACAGGGTTTGTATCCTGTGTGAACGTATTGCAGTTTAAAACTATTCCACTACTCTGGAAAGGTGCAGATTATTTGACTGCTGAATTACCAGTTCAAAGCTTTGTCATACTAAGAAAAAGAAATAACTTGTATTTTTGGTTAGGCTTCACCAGGAACCAGATTTTTCAGAGTGCAGGGTGTTGAACTCGAAATTCAAAAGACGTGGATTATTCATTCCAGTTCTGCAGCATACCTCCTATGTGACACTGGCCTGTTCGCTTTCCTTGCCGAGCTTTGCCTCTTAAGATGAAATGGTCATCCTTAGTTTGAGAGCCCTTTTCAAAGTAAATGTTAGTGAGCTTAACCCCTGTGTTTCCTTAGGGAGTAAGGATTACTTAGCAAGCAATGTATGTCATGCAAACTTCATGTTAAGTACAGCTTATAAGGTAAGGAAGACATTGTTCATTTGGGTGTGTTGGCTTGGATATCATTACAACTGTAACTTCTTTAGCCCCACCCAAATATGACATTGCTTGTTAGGCGGGAACTTATTTCTTAAAAAAAAAAGAAAAATTGGCAGCTTTTAGTTCAAAAGATAGTTCACAATTCTTAAGTCAGACTTGGTGGTTTGCTTAGTGTTTTTTCCCTAAACGTTTTGGCAAGAAAATAGTATAACACAGGAGTAATGTGTTTTGTCCAGATATTTCTAAAGAAGAGTTAACGGGCCTTTCAGACGAGTGGGGGAAAAAAAAACCCTGTATTTAAGATCCTTCAGATGTCTTAGTGAAGAAGATAATGCCCATGGGGAGTTTTTATTCAAAAAAAACCCAAATCTTTCAGAAGGCATAGAGAGGCAGAGAAGAATGCTAGCCAGTTCAGTGGCACAGTGTATTCTTAAGCTATTTTAAGTAAGGGCACAATGAGGTGAGTCTTTGTCAGGGAGCACGTATTGGACTGAGAGTATTGGTGTGGATGAACACATCGTTTAGTCACTGACCAGTACCTGCTGTAATGGGCTGCCTGCTTACTGGGATACAAGTGACACCTGTCTGGGTAAGGGTGGCCCTTGTGGGAGAGCACACTCTGTCCTGCGTCGTACTGCTGGCCGAAAAAGTTTCCAAGAGGAGTGCAGTGGGATGAAGCGGGGTGGCTGTCATAGGGACTTGGGTCCAGTGTGGCGACACTGATTTCATTTTGGTGTGCATCAGAATAAAAACCACTTGTTTTACCTGAAAAGCACCTTTCAGAGAGGAAAAAAAAAAAAAATCTTGCTTACCTTGATCCTTTGAAAGTTGACCCTATTGTTTTAACACGGATTACTAATGTATTGTGTGCTTTGACAGGTTTTGTTTCCTACAATATTGTAAGAGTGTACACTTGTACAAAGTACTATTTAATTGAAATGCTGCATAAAAATGTGAATAAGAAGAGTCAAATGATCTACAGTGACTTTTTATAAAGGTATAGTTTCTCAGATTATCTAGTCAAAAGGCTAGAAGAAAAACTTCAATTCCAGCTTCTCTTCAATATTGTTTTACGGTGTTAGAGTCAGTATCTCTGCCAGAGCAGCTCCACATTCCGTTGATGTGTTTTGCCTAATGTTTCAGGGATAAGACGTATTGGCAGGAGGCCTGATCAGCAGCAGCAGCAGCAGCAACAGCAGGGTGAAGGCAAGCCTATTGACAGGAGACCGGAGAGACGACCTCCTCGTGAGCGCCGCTTTGACAAACCTGCTGATGAGAAAGGCGAAGGAGGAGAATTTTCTGTTGATAAGTAAGAATTTTGTCTTGCCTGACAACTTTCCTAGTTTTGATAGGAAGGGGCTATCCTGCCTTCTGCTACTAAGTTAAAGAAAAAAAAAAAAGCTGATAGAATCAAAATTAAATTGATTGAATTAAATTTTTGTCAGGCACAAGAAGAGTACGTGGCATGCAGAATATAATGCTTTTCTTTCCTTTTCCATGATTTTGTTTACAAACTTGGCTCAAGTTATAGACTGGGAGTGATCTAATGTGAACAGTTCCATTGGTTTAACTGAAAATATGGTTTAAATCAGTGTGATATCCACCATATCTCTCTAAATCTATAGCAAATGGGTCAGGAAAGGAACTCAAGTATAGCTGTTGCCTGCAGGATGAGATCTGTTTGCTGTTACAGCTGTTGCTTAAATCTGTGCAGCTGACTTGAAGCCAATAAAAGTTAGTCCGTGTAGGTGTTTATACCTTGGCTGCAGTGAATTCAGATCTGGAATTGGTGAAGCCATCTTATGTCTAGGCAAGTTTTAAAGTGTCTCGAGTATCGTGTAGCATCCAGAATTCAAGTGTTCTGAAAGTAATGTTCAAATACTAAGTTCTAGTAGCCAAAATTAAAATTCTTTTAAACGTAAGTTGGATGAATGTGAGTTAAATTGAAATTTTAGTGTCAGCTAGTGATGTAACACGAGACAAATGCTAAACTTCAGAATTTAGTGCCAGAAGATGCAAATGAACGGTAATCCTTCTGAGCATTTGTTTCCAGTTTCTAAGATGCAGGCATTATATATTTGGGTTTTTTCAGTGTAATAATTTGGTATTGAAATTAGAGCCTCAACACAGTTACAGTAATTATCAGAGGAAAAGTAAGTAAATAAAATTCTCAAAAGAGAAAAAGAAAACCATGCTGTAAATTTTTGGAGGTGAAATATTAAAGTTTGACTGTTCCATGCTAGACCCATTCTTGACCGACCTATGCGTGGACGTGGTGGACTTGGAAGAGGGCGTGGACGTGGACGTGGAATGGGCAGAGGAGATGGGTTTGACTCTCGTGGCAAACGTGAATTTGACAGACATAGTGGCAGTGATAGATCGTAAGTCTTTAACTTTTTCTATTGTGGACTTTTTTTTACTATTCTTTACAATTAAAACATAATTTAAAATTTGCCTTTGAATTTCTGTATCTGGACACTATAATGTTAACTCAGTTTTGTTAGTTCTGTTTCACATTCACATTTCAGCGGCCTAAAGCATGAGGACAAGCGTGGTGGCAGTGGATCACACAACTGGGGAACCGTCAAAGACGAGCTAACGTTAGTAATCTGTAATTGCTCAGAAAACTATTAGCAGAATCCTAATTCTTACAGCTTGCAAAATGTAAAGATTTAGCTGCCTTTTTTGCCTTTGATTTTGATAATTTTTGCTACACTATTAAAGCCGCCTTTGCAGAGTTTAGAAAATTAGTGATTTCTTGTGACATAAGAGATGGCTTAACTGTTAAAACCAGAATTTTGAGGAAGTTCGGAATTGGGGGGCGTCTTGTGCTGTTTTTTGAACAATTCTTTTACTAAAAATAGAACAATTTAATTTTAACAATTTTGATCAAATTAAGCATGCCTTTTTTTACAAATATTACATGGAAAACAGTGTTTTAAATACCCAAATCCATTTTGTGTCTCAAGGCACAGCGGGAGGCTTTCAGAATGGGTACTAGTAAGTGTTGGGGAAAACCATTAGGAAGGTGGAAAGCATAGAATTTAAAAGGCACAGAGAGCACTAATTCTTAATGAAATAGTTGTTTTTCAAGAAGAGTGGCTTGTGTAAATCCACTGTAGAACTTAGTCATTAATCGTATGTAGCTTTAAATAGGGATGAACTTTTAAAAAACAAAACTCCGAACATTATGTAATTGCAGTGAATTGGATCAGTCAGCTGTAACTGAGGAAACGCCAGAGGGAGAGGAACATCCGCCTGCTGATTCTGAAAACAAGTGAGTACCACCGCTCTTAATGTTCTTTGATTGCTTCAAAGGTAGTATTACTTTGCCTTTAACCTCTGGTATTTATTCCTACTTCTGTTTTGCCACACTCAGATTATATTTTCTTGAGTAGATATGAAATTATCCACAGTGCTGCCGAAAGACTGTCTCTTTAAGAATTGCCTGTCTAAAAATTGTTATCTTGAAACAGTTCATCAGTGTCATGCAGGCTCTTGGGTCACTTTCAGATTTAGTTATTAACAGTCAGTTCCAACATGCTTAGGATCTCGGGATTGCAACTACTAAGTACTAAATCCAAACACATCTGTGCTCCTAACTAGGTAGGTAGAACCACCAAGCAAAAGGGACAAAATGTTCTTCTGCCAGTGGAAGGCAACTTTTTTTAAACTTAGTTTTTCAAAACAACTGTTGAGACTGTGTGACTAGCCTGTAGAAGAAAGGTTGTATCTCTTTCATTCTCTGGCTTCTTTGAAAGTTGCCTGTATACACAGAAGTTAACTTGATTGCTTCTCACTCCACTTGGACACTGCTACAGAAGAAACCAGTGAGTGGATGAATGAAATAGAGTAATTAGAGAGGCAGAATGAGCAGCAGTGATACTTAGAGTTGATGTAAAAACGTGATACAAATTCTTATGGTAGTGTAGTACAATAAAATGTTTTATTTTAATGAGGAATGTGCTTTATGGCGAATTCAAAAGAAAACGGCAAACAGATAAGATAGAATTTTGAAATACTAGTTTGCCTGAGATTTCTAATGTGGAGTTTGCTAAGGCTTGATTTCCTTATCAATAACTTTGGTTAGTGGTAAAGAGGGTACAATTACTGTGTAGAGAATAAGGAATGGATTTAGTTTAACAAAAAAAATACTAAATGCTATTACTTCTCCAAGGCTTTGATGATCCAAGGTTAAGGTCATCATGTATACAGGAGTAGTATGAGAATTTTTAAGGAATTACAGCTTGAGCATTGGTCAGAAAATGCAAGCTAGCTAGTCCTTAAAAAGATTATATGTATTGGAAATCTGGATATATTAAATTTGTTGTGTCTGCAGTATTTCCTGGATCTTTTAGTAGCAGTATCCTGATGCTTGACCAGAAACTGACCTATCCATGTGCAGATCAGTTATCTGAAAAATTCTGCAGGTTATTTGTATGTTTTTTTCTTCTTCCTCAAATCTGCAGAAAACACGTACTCTTCCCAGTTTCAAACGTAATGCATCTGTTGTAACCTGTCAGTTATCTTTGTAGAAAAGCATCTTTACATGGGTTAGTTTTCAGGTTGGCTAATTTTGTGTGGACCTCTAACCTAAATGTTTCACCAGAATTGTAGGATGTTTTACTGCAGTAAAATGGGCAGAATACCAAGGGGTAATATCTTTGCCTTGAACTAAAAAAATGCTTCTGAATATATACCATGTCAAAAATCATTCTGTCCTACAGAATGAGAAAAAATTGAAATACAGTCATTTTGACATATACCCTCTGCATTATTACATCAAAATTAATGGCTACAAAATTAAGATCTGTTCTCTGAAGTTGAGGCTTTCGTGATCTTTTTGCTGCACATACATGGCACAAGTGTTCCATAAATCAGAAATTTAGTTGCATAAACACAGTGAAGAATGACTAGAGGATTGACTGCCTGTGTAGTTGGAACATGATCTGTTATTGAGCATAGTGGTTGTCTGTTTTACTTAAAAATAGCTCTTTGGCAGAAGGTAGAGGCACCAAAGATTTACAGTGAAGTGATATCACACAAGTAACGAAGTTGTATGCTGTTGTTTTTTCAAGTTAGCTGAAAGTAAAAATTGTTTTAGTTAGCTGGGAAATTAATAATTGTCTTTCATTCAATAAAGGAAGCAGACTATCCAAAGCTGATTAAATTCTGGTTTTCAAAAAACTAACAAGCTTGAAAATTGTGGTAAATACAAGCTCGCTCTCACTGCCTTAACTTGAGAGGTATCTCAAAAAGGGAAAATAGCTCTAAATAAGTCCATTGCAGAAGGTAGGCTTTCATATTTGTAAAGAAATTTGTCATTAACATGGAGAATAGATGGCATGGATCAGTGTTAATTTTAAATTTTAATATTTTGCTGTGCTGTGCTCACCATTTAGTTGCTTAAAAGTGTCTGGCTGTGATTTGATTTTTTTTTTTTTTTGCCATCTGGCTAAAGGAGTTGAGTTTTCCTGTCTGCTTTGAGTGGTGGAAGTGAGGGTTTTCTATACACATGTCTTCACTGCTAAATACTTGACAAACTTTTTTATAATCTGGTGCCGATTAACAACCGATTTTGAATTTGTTGTATCTAGAATGTGAGTTCTAAGTCATGATCACAATATCCATGAATTTACTACAGAGAGAATGAGGTTGAAGAAGTTAAGGAAGAAGGTCCTAAGGAAATGACCCTGGACGAGTGGAAAGCTATTCAAAGTAAGGATCGTGCAAAAGTTGAGTTCAACATCCGTAAACCAAATGAGGGTGCTGATGGGCAATGGAAAAAAGGATTTGTTCTTCACAAGTCAAAGAGCGAGGAGGTAAAGTGATTTTCAATATTTGCTAGTATCCAGATTGTATAGGTTTTTCTGTTGATATGCACTTATTGGAGTGGAAGCTCCATTCTTTGAGACACTGACCTGTAGCTAAAATTTTATAAAGTGGGAAGAACATGTCTCTTAATAAAACTGAAGTTATGCAGTAGCATAAGTGGCCATTCTTACTGTGGTTAGTTTTAGCAGTTGATCTGTACCTGTAGGTTGGTGTATACTGTGATATAATCTAGAGATAAGACTGGAATACGGCTGCATCTGGGCAGGTAACTTTGTAAGGACTGTCTCTTGGTGAGCATTTTAGGAGAGGTTTGTCAATATCAAATTTATTTCTTTGCTTTTTATGCAGTACACAGATTTATGGTTCTTGCTAAACATGATCTAAGATTGAAGACATACTGGTCATGCCTCAGACACCTTAATACCTAAACTGTATATCTTAAGTTTGTAACATAGGTATCTTCTCATTTTGTAGTAATATATATTCAAGTGTCCTTGAAGCTTTTGAGAAACCAGGTGAAATATATTTGTATGCTTCAGTGATATTCAACGTAGTTGCTGTAGAATTATTTTAAAATTGCAGTTTCTCAAGCATACTCATTTCAGTCATTGCAAAATTTTAATTATTCTGTTCCAAGATAGAGAGAAGGCAAGGAGAGACGTACTCTTTCACTTCAGAAGGGAGGGAAGTGCCGAGAGCTCTGTTTTCTAATGCAGGGCTGCATTAATCTTTGTTTTAATCTTTGTTTTTAATGCTCTGTAATATCTCCAGTGGCCCACTGTTAATCAGTGGCCTGCAAGTTTGTATACCAGATGGTTCTGGCTCCCTTTGAAGTAACTGAGTAGTATGGAATATGCTGTTCGGTCTTCTAATATGTATTTCTGCTTTTTCACACTTTGTCAGTTTTTTTCTTGTAAGCTGGGGGCATAATACAGGAGGGGAGGCACTATTCAGTACTTTCCAATGAAAACTCCATTTCTAATCACATTGAACTCGGAATGAGTTTGACTTTGTCACAATCATGCTATTTTCTTTTCTTGCTGTGTAAGGTAGTTCTTCAAATGATTGTGTATCTTTTTGTTTACCTTAAGCTGTTCAGTGTTTGAAGTGTTCATTCAATACCACTTTCTCTGGCTTGTGTAGAAAAGGGAAACTGAGTTAGACTTAATGTTGTCATATATTAAAAGAGTAGATTTAAACAGAAGTATTATGTACTTTACCAAGATTTATTAAAACTGTAGTCCTGCAAGTCCCCCCCAGCCCCAGTCTCACTGAAGCAGATTTGTTTGACATTTAGTCAGCTGAAGACAGTCTTTTTTTAACATATCTGCATGTATGATAGTATAATAAGGTGGTGGTACTCTTGAGTAATTTAGAAGCTAGAAAGATCCATGCTGTATTTTTCATTTGAAAAAAGAATCAGTAGTTAACTCAGAAAAACCCAAACAAAAACAATGAGAATAATCAAATTACTTTCATGGAAGAACTGACATAATTGATTGTTCTGTTTGGGAGGTGCGTTCGGTTAACTTCTCTTTGAAGAAATGAGTCAGATATTTTTAACACTATCACATAAGAAGTTAACAGCTCCATGCTGTATAAGCACAGAAGTGAGATATTAACAAAGCTGCCTTTAAATCTAGATGCTTTTAGCCTGCTTTTATTGTATGTCCAGCAGATGTCTCTCCCCATTTCATTTATTCATTGTTCACTGATCCTTTGGGAAGCAGCATGGGCTTTTCTTGCAAAGTATTATAGCAGAATAGCTTTATAATACAGGTGTTGGGAAAGCCTTCACTGCGGCTCCTTTGTGAGCAGGTTTAGAACGCGGAATATTTAGAAGTTAGGAACAAAACCTACCAATCACCTGCTGTTCTTTTTCTGTTTGTCCTCTTGGACAGACTTATGAGTCATGAAATTAAAGTTGGTGTAAGGTTTCTGCGATTCTTATTGCAAAGAAGGGAGTTGATGTGTGGAAGTGACTTGGTTTCTAGGTAAATTCTGGTTTTCAGCCCCAAATCTTCTGTACTCTTATGGCTGAAAAATCACAACGTGCCCTAGTAGATGTTCTCAGAAATTTGAATTGAAGTCGTGTGATGGCCGCCCTCACTCCTGTAGCTTGAGAACTACTGGGAAAATGCCCTAGGAATCTGTGAGAAAATGGGAGTATGGCTCTAGTACTGTTCATCTGCCTTAGTCTTGTGAAAGAGCTGTCCTTCTCCTCCTACTTACACTCTTCACTGAGAGGTGAAATGCTTGACCCTATCTGAGGTCTTTCCTCTTTGTCACATTTGCTATGCAATTACTAGAAAGTGATACTTTGTATAAAATGAACTCTTAATACTGTCTCAGATTCTTGCTGGTTTAGTAAGAAATCCATGTGTATTGGCAGCCCTAGTCTAATGATACTCTTTCCAGGAGATTGGGTTATGCCATAAAAGAGAGATCTTCTTTTTTCCTTCTCTGCAGCTGGTTTAGCGGCTTGAGTCTTTTTAAATTCTACTGGTGCAGCTGAACAAAACATGGGAAGGAGTTACATTGTGGAGAGATCTTGAAATTTGTTCAGAAAGTTGGATGCAAGTCTCCTGGAAAGATTGATACTCTAGTAGATCGGTTCCTACTCTATATATCTGCTTTATTGTGCTGTGCCACTTTCCTGTGCCTTCAAGCTTTCTTGCTAATCTAATCACTTCCTTAGAGGAGGTTGCAATGGCAGGCTGAGAAATATGTTTTGGAAAATAATAGTTCATCTTCTCAAAATTCGGAGGAATGACTCGTGAATCGAGGCTGTGCAGAAACCTTTTCTCATTAACAGTAATTTTAAACATCCCACCCTCTTATCTGTGTAGTTCTGTACACAGTGTGCCCAATGTATTGAGGTGCTAGAGATCAGCCTGCATGCATGGTCTCTACTAGAGTTTCCAGCAGCTTTTGTTAAACTTTTTTGGTATCGATCCGAGATTTCTCTTGTCTCCACGCCTGTGGTATAGTCCATCCTCTGGTCTTTCTGGATGCTTGCACAGCTGTTGATCTCATCCTTTTGCTGCTTCATGTGCTCAGTGACATCTGTATCCGGCAAGTTCATGTGACCTTATTACCTGTTGTTTCTGTATGTAGTTGAGTCTCATTTCTTCCTTTTGTTTTCTCCCTTTGTTCCTTTTGTCACTTTGGCGTGGACACGCAACTTTCATCAGACAAAGGCGATGACAGAAATGCAGGGGAGTCTGCTGGAGTCAAATGAGGTACTGATCCTTTATATCTAACTGGTAATACTTGTGTTTTGATATGAGCCCCTTCTGAAATGAAGGTCTGGATATTAAGAAGTCACAAAAATAGAGAATACAAGTGGATACAATATGGAGCTCTTCTGTCCATGCCTGTTGTCTAACTGTGCGCCATATAGGACCCTTCATAATCAGTACCCTTGCTCCTGTTTGAGCTGAATTCAAACCTTATCATAAATGCTTCTATCATGAGTCTTTTTATTTTTTGTTGCTGTTGTTTTTCCACATCTCACTGTCTGCTTTGGCCCCCCTTTCCGTCAGTAGCTTATTCTTAATTTTTGACAGCCTTTCCCAAGACCCATACATGCAGCAACGCCTTCGAGAAGCAACCAGTTATTAGATCAGAGCACTATTGAGAGTTGCCAATACATATAAATTAAATGCTTCCAAAGATGATTCAGAATAAGTAATTTGTATGTCTTTGACTGTTGTCACCTCAGTGATAGAAGAGTATGAGGAGAACACGCCAAGTCTTTTATTGGTGTTTTAAATTAGCTTTAGTTATTTTGGATAAAGAAATCTTTGGGTTACATACAGAATTTACTATTTGTTGGGTTTGGTGGTTAAGCCAAAGTTAAGTTGTGAAAATAAAATGTTTTTGGTAGACTGCAGTGTTCCTTTTTTAAGCAATAACAGTGTAGGATGTACAAAGCCACTGATGCTACCTCTCAGAAAAGAGGATGTTGTACAGCTACCACTAAGTTGAAAATATCATCTCAGTACCCTGCAGTGATCAAAACTGTAGATAAAATATTTAGTGGGAAAGGAGTCAGAACTGTAGCAAATGGTATTGTGTACTGTTTTACAAATTGTTGGTGTACTTACATTTGAGTAGTGCAATGTCAGGCTGAGATGTGGAATGACTTTTGTCTGAAAAATAACTGCTTAGGGTAACTTCCTCGGTTTGGAAAAGAGATCTCTGAGGGAAGGGTGTACAATTAAAATCTATAAAATCAGGAGTGGGATGGGGACCAGTTGGTTACATGGAGTACATCCCAATGAGATATGTTTGAAATAAAGCAGCATGGGGAGGTATTTCTCATTGTGCCTAATTAAACTGCAGTGCCCTCCACTGCAGGGCGTTGTGGAGGCCAGATGTACAACTGGGCACAGAAAGGGGTAATGAGACTGGTGTGGGGAGAAGGCTCGCTCTGGCTCTGTACATCATGGTGCTTGTGACTGACTCAAGGAATCCCTGAAAGCAGCTTTCAGCCTTTTGACTGCAGACCCCTGTGTATCCATTGGCTGCCTTATGAAGGATCCACAAATGGTAATTAAAGAGTGTAGGGCCTAATTGCACAATATGTTGCCTTTGAAACAAGTCAGCATATTGTGTAATTGCACCACAAGAAAAGTAAGTTATAGTCAGTAGGCTTAAGCTTGCACATGGCACTTCTGTAGGAAAAAAGAAGCAAACTGAAAATTGCTGTGTCAGAAACTAGATGGTTACAGGAGAAGAAAGTGTTGTATGTTGTCACGTTTCCAAACATGATTGGGCCTTGTCACGTTTCCAAACGTGATTGGGCCTTGTAAGAGGCAGAGTGCTGGACTAGATAAACCCTTGGTCTGATCCAGTGTGGTCAGTTTTACGTTTTGTGTATCATCATAGGTGCCCAAAACTGACTTACCAAATGGAAAAATTATTTGTGCAAAAAAGGAAAAATAATTCATTTAAAAACACTTGGTTCTTTTTGCGTTCGGTGTGTAATAATGTGAAATACTCAAATGTGCTGAATAGTAGCATTTATGGTGTTAGATGTAACTCTTTGGCCCATACCTTGCTTTGTGAGGCTCAGGTTTCTCACTGGGAACCAACCAGCTGTAAGAGATTGCTGTATCATGGCAAAGGTAGTGAGAGTCATATTTTTCAGTGTAATTGGTGAGACTGGTTCTCTGTTTCAGCATGGTTTTAGCTATTTCAGTTACATTGTGTTTGAACTGTTTATGCCTCGTTTGCTGTTTGTTATGGCTAATGCAAACCAGTAAGGGATTCTTACTGTCTCCCTTGTTTTAAATATTTATACAGGGCTAAGCAAATGAGAAAGTGTAAAGTACTCATTGAGCAAAATAAAGATGGGTTACCAAGTAAGTATTTAAAAAGAATGAAATGAATTGATAGAACCTGAAGATTTCTCAGAATATGAAGTGAGAAGAAGAGAAATGCTGGAATGCTATACTGGCTTGGTGATAGTCAGTTTGGTCTCAGATAAACCTAAACGTGTTCCTCTGAAGGAACTGCAGAGATTCCCTGAATTATCTTGGAAATGCAAAATACCTTTGTTTGCTCAATCGCTTATTTGATTACCTATATGTGGTTTTGTCGTCTGCACAAGTGGTATAACTTGATTCCTAACAATTCCTGCACTATCTTTTAACTTGAATCAATCAAGTTAATCAGTCATCAATTTGGGAGCACATTTGGAGGTGAACACGCGTGGTGTGGTGGTAAGAGTGCAACTACAAATGAAAAAGTTTCTTTGGTAATTTTTCTTACTCATGGAGAAACACTCGTTTCAGGCTCATGCTGAGGACTCTGTAATGGATCATCACTTCCGCAAGCCAGCAAATGATATTACATCCCAGCTGGAGATCAACTTTGGAGACCTCGGCCGCCCCGGACGTGGTGGCAGAGGGGGACGGGGTGGCCGAGGGCGTGGTGGCAGGGCCAGCCGTGGAGGGAGAACTGACAAGGTAAGTAGCTACAGCTTTCATCTACAAAGGTGTTTAATTTCAGTTGTTATTAGGATTTTCAGACAGATAGTTTTAGATGTCTTCCTTATTTCTGAGGGAGTTGCTCTGACAACAAACACCACGTTTTAAAACGAAGTAACATGTCTATTCTTACAAGTTCACTTTAAACTAGGTTGCTGTCAGGACAAAAGGATGAATGTTTTAGCAGTGTTCTTATTAAACACTAAAAAAGAGAGGGTGGGGAGTAGGTTGGAGTAAAAAAAGTGTCCATCTTTGAAGGTTGTATCTAAACCCAAAAAAATGACTCTTCTGTATGGACAGATCTGAGTGTACTATGAGATGCTTCTGTTTGTGCCAGAGCAGAACTGCAAGTGTTAGAGCAGATATTTTCAGACACACTCAGGACGGTGTATCTGCATTGTGACCTGTTGGGGGTGAAAGACTGGTTTTATGGCTGCATGTTATAGCTTGAATTTGAGGAACTTAGAGTTTTCATGTAGAAAAAGGACTCTTACTGTGGTTTGGTTGTTTGTTTGTTTGTTTTTCCTCTCTAATCCACAGTAACTTTTTTCCTCCTCTAGTCCTAAAGCCCTAAGGAAATATTCAGGACTAAGTACCGAATCGGTCTGGGGAGAGAACATGTAGAGTTGAAGTACTGTAGTATAGCTGCAGTAAAGATTGGATTTAATATGGATCATTTATTTGGCTTACATGCATCTAATCAAATTGTTACTCACTAGAAAATGAGTTTGGTCTGTGTGGTGTGGCTTTCTTCACATAGACTAGACTTGTTTATTTTTATCTTGTGTAGGACACTGACTTTGTTTTCTCTTTTACACTGGATCACTTTAAGTTTTAGGCTTATTAGTTGGAAAATTCTCTTCTGATATCAATATAAGAAATTTAAGGAACTGATATTAACTGTTGGACTTGATGATCTTAAGAGTCTTTTCCAACCTTAACGATTCTATGATTCTGTGATTCTAAATGGTGGTGGTTTGCTCTGAGTCGTTTCACTAATATGGCATCTTGCTTCTTCAAGAATGCTCTCATAAAGCAGTTGAAAACTTTGAGATCTGCAGCTTATTTTATGTTGACTTTGTTTATTTCCTTCCAGTTGGTTAAGGAGTTTGACGTGATCCACACACCCAACCAGGTTGGTGACCTCTGCTGGCACTTACGTTACCTGTGAACAAGGCCCTCCTGTTGCAGGGACTGTAATTCCCCTCCTGCAGTGGATTGGCTTTTTTGGCTTGCTTTCTGCTTTTCTGTAATGAGCAACCGGAGATACTAAGGCTATAGGCTTAAGACCCTGCTGTTACTTTTTAACTCTAGTTTGTAGGCTGGGTAGTTCTGCAGTGTCTTAGTCTTGCCTATAGAGGTTGATAAAACTTTAATTTGAATGGTTTAAATTTATCTCTTTGTCTTGATAAATGAATATGTTTACAGGAAATTCCACTATCCTGGCTCTTCCTGCTCTTCTTCTCTTTCACATCCCTCATGGAAGTATTCTAAAATACTTAATTTCTGCATTTCATTGTAGCGCTGCTTTTTTAGGTGTGGTACAGAGCCTTTTATAAAAACTCTGATAGGGAAGTCCTGAGGAGATTCTTGGTTAGTGTGTGTGAATTTCTAGGGTTAGGTTGGCACAAAAGTTCTTTTTATCAACAGCTAGTTTGAGAGTGGGAAAAATTAAACATCTGAAACTTAATTTGTGCTACAAACAGGACTTTTCTGTAACGCTTCAGTTATGTCCCTCAGTAAGAATTGATGGCTATGTGCTAGTAGAATAGCATAAGTAGTATCAAATGTAGTGATCTCTTTAAGAACGGAAAAAAGAGATGTACTTGTAACCTTGTGCAACAATCATGTGCAAACTTGGTCTGTTTGCCTGTAATGCCTCTTTTGAATCAAAGCTATCCAAAAGTAACATAGAAGTCTTTCTAGTCCTTGGAATAAGAAAAAAAATGTTGCTTATCATGGGAGGGAAAAAGTTGCTCTTGTAGTAATTTGTTCAGTACTAGCCTGCTTATTCCACTGTAGTGTGTACCTGTTTGAAACCCGGTATTTCCCTATTGAATAGGGTTCAGGTTAAAGTAGTTTTAAAAAGGAAGAATTCCCACCCTGGTTTGTCTGGGGTGCAGGGAGTCCCCGTGCCTGCAGCTGCCCCGTGCAAGTGCCACCCCGTCTGTCTGCACAGGGACAGAGGCTCAGACTTGTCGCTAGGCCCCCACGCGTGCCCGCAGTTGAGCAGTGCTAACGTCTTGCACTGCCCAGCTCAGCTGTGCACTGAGCTGCGTTTGCCTAGCGAACGGAAGGACTTGGTAATGTGTGAAGAATTAGAAACACAGTAGGGCTTGATGCCACTGAAGGTAATAACATTCTGATGTTTCTCTTTCAGTCAAGTGCTTCTGCTCCTGATGTAGATGACCCAGAGGCTTTCCCAGCTCTGTCCTAAACTGGATGTCATAAGCCAACCCTGCCCTCGTCGGGCCTTCCTCTCCGAGGCTTGCATGCTTAAGGATCCTAAACAACTAAGAAATTAAAAAAAAAAAGAGACTGTCATTCATACCATTCACACCTAAAGACTGAATTTTATCTGTTTTGAAAATGAACTTCTCTCGCTACACAGAAGCAACAATATGGTAGTCAGTTTTGTATTTAGAAATGTAATGGTAGCAGGGATGTTTTCATAATTTTTTCAGAGATTATGCATTCTTCATGGATACTTTTTTGTATTGCTGCTTGAAAATATGCGTTTCCAAACTTGAAATATAGGTGTGAACAGTGTGTACCAGTTAAGCTTTCACTTCATTTGTGGTTTTTTTTTTTTTAATTCAGGATTTTAGACATTTTCCTCAAACTACAAACTGGGTTTTAATTATTGCACACTATTTCCGTTTCCTTAATTCCTGTTTAGCAGATTTTTATCAGCCCGTGGTCTTTTGGAATATGTGAAATTTTTAATTTGGCAGACTGTTAGTGCTGTATGGAATACTAACTCCTGGAGTACTTTAGTTTTAATGCTCAATTTCAGACTTGGAAAAACAGTCATTTTTCATCTATGTTTGGTAGTTTGTTTACGCAAAATCTTTATACAAAATTGATACCAGATACTTGAAAAAGATTCAGAGCACATTGGTTTATAGTTAAATACCTGTGTATTGATCCAGCAATGATGTGTGGATAATTGGTCTAAACAGTTTTTTAAAATTAATGTATTACACCTTTCACTCACCCTTTTTACCTTTATTCCCTCCTCCTCCTCCTCCCTTCAACAGAACAAAATGCTTTGTTGGCCAAAAAAAAAAAAAGTTTCTAAATTACCTATGTTTTTTCTTTGAGAGGGTACCCTGTAGAGTGGAGTAACCTTTCCTGTTGTTGGAGCTGGGAGGTGGGGGAAGGTGGTAGCTGTTGCTCTGGCAGTCTGTCTGGACTCCGGCTGGGATGTGGAATTTAGCAGCACAGTCTCTTGACACGAGTACATCAGTACCTGATGTATTCACCGCACTGCTCTGACAGTGGCAGGTCTTCTGAAGAAGAAACCACAGGCCTTGGCTGGGTCTGGCAGGAGGGAGTTTTGCCTTACCGTTTCAGATGGGGACATTGCAATCTGTGCGCGATACAACAAAAAGATGCAAAACAAAACCCCAACACTTAACTTCTCCATCAAAATTTTGTTCTGGATTTGTGCAGTGTTTGAGATCTGATTGCTAGTTGACAAATGAATGTTTTTCAGAGTGCGATTGTAAGAAACCCTTTCTACTCCCGTAGAAATTTGCCGTAGGTTTAATTTAATCCCTGTGAGCAGGATTACCACTTCCGTACACAAAAGGAGTTGAGAGAATGACTAATAAAGAGGGTTTCTTAGGGTTTTTATCTGCAGCATTTGTTAGGAGACTAGAAACAGGTTTCTCATTTTATTTAATGTTTTACACTTTGGACAGCTTATAACATATTTGTAGTTTCTTAACTAGGTAGATAGAAAACAAAAGGTAATGCCCTATTTTTTTAAAAGCTGTACAGGACAGGCAAAAAGTATTGGAGACCTTTGAATATGAAATATCAGACTCCTTAACTGTGGTGTTTAGCTGGCTTGCTTTATCTGAACTATTTTCTACAAAAGTTTTTGTTGTAAACCACTGTTAATATCATTGGATTAGACTTTTTAGTGCACTCACCTATAGTTTGAAGTTCCAGGCTGTGAGAAGGAGGCAAGTTTTCAAACAGTGGATGGTAAAATCTCTTGGTTTGTTTCTCCTGAGTCTAAGCAGATCTTACACAGGTGCTCAGCGGGAGGGCTGTTGGAGGTCCAGCACTGAGTTGTTCCTCTTCCCTCTCCCTTTGTGGTTTGGTAGAATGTGTTGTGGTTCTAGCATTAGGGACACCTTGGATAATACAATTAAACGACTGCCTTGATATGCAGAAACACACTTGCGGAAAAGCTTTCTCTGTAACATAAACCCTCCTCTCCTTTTCCAAACTGTATATTTGCTGCTTCACTTGCCACTCAGCTTTTTTCCCAGATGACTTCTGGGCCAGCCAGTCAGTCGTTTGGGGCCCTGCTAGCTGGACTTGGTCAGAAGCTTTCCCTTCTCCTGCTTTAGAGCATAGAGCAGTTTCCCGAATGGCATGTCACGTACAGCTTTCGAGACAGCTTGTACTTAAAATCGGTCTGTCTGCTGATAGATGTAAATTTGCCTCTTTCAGTCCATTTGTGTCAAGAATTAAAACTGTGAACATATATCTTTAATATTGGTGGGTGTTAACTGAAATAAAGGTTTATTTTCATGCTCTTTTAAAAATGTCATGAAAACACATGGAGATGAAACCACTTAGATTAATAAGCGTCTCATCTAGGTTCTGCCCCAAGTGGTCCAGTCTGCCTGTTGCGATGGTGCCCAGGCATTTCCGTTGCCAGGAATGGACTGTGCCTTGGGAAAATGTCTCCCAAGTAGCTTATTTACAATTAATGGGCTTGCTCTTTAGTAGCACTTTCTGTCCTCTTATTTGCTACTTTTGCTGTCACGCTAAATCCAGAGGACAAGACCTTTTAAATCTGAACAATTTGAAAAAGATGGTCAGCAGAAAAAGTTGGAGAGAAACAGAGAAGCACGTGGTGCAAATTGGCTTTAGAATATAATGATGGCAAGGTTTGAGCATGAAAGTTCATCTTACAGATTGAATGCCACTGATGCTGGGAGGAAACAAGACTGATTAATAAATGCAAGTGTTAGCCATGTGGGAAAGGGCATAAATTCTTCTGAAACATCAGAAGTCACTGTGAATATGTGGTGTTTGCAGTTCGAGGAGTTGAGACCACTCTTACCTGTAATGACTCTTTGCCCATGGAGATTGGTTTGCATAGCCACACCTCTTGTTTTAATAAACGCAGGACATATGCCTAAAGCTGACACTTCCAGCATTTGCTAACCTGCTTCTTTTCTAAAATCATTACAAGGACCATGTTACCTTCATTTTGTACTCCTGTTCTGGTCTGCCTTCGCCAGGTAACAGTCTCCTGGCCAGGCTCAGGGTGTGTTTGAGCAAGTGCCAAGTGCCCTGACACAGTGGGCGGCGAGTCCCCTACTGCGCTGGGTGCTGTGCTAGAAAAGCCAAATGTAATATTGTTGCTGGGGGGTTGTAACCTGACTGTCGGGAAAACGGTTTGTTTGCCCTTACTGGGAGACTTTCAGGTAGGCGTTATAAAAGTTTGGTGGTTGTCCTACTAATGATGCTATTTGTCTCTTGAAGTTGGAGTAAGACTTTATGTGAAGCCCCACATGGCAATTTATTTAGAGACTTGAAGAGCAAGGAGAAAATACACTCTAGTGTTCTTTTATCCGTATGTTGAAGTTGAAGATCAATATGCAGAAATAGATGAATTATAGTGCTTTTTTTTGACTTTTTTTAAAAAAATACCTTTCTTTGGCAGTAGGTATCTAATTCAGTTGTACGCAGCTGACTTGAGGTACTGATTTGTCTGATGCCCAGCCAGAATCCTCTTGCTGAGGTGGTTGCCAGATTGGGTATGGAGAGCACGAAAATGGAGTTCTCTTCGATGTCCAGCCCAAGTCCGAGTGAAATGTTTGCCTTTGAGTGACACCAAGCCAGGCTTCACAGGTGGGAGATGTCTGTGTACCAGGCTGGAGACCAAACCTTGGAACCAGCTGCTAGACCCAAAAAGCAAAATGGCAGAGCTGGTACTTTGCCAAAAATCTTGCACACTTGTGTAGCTGACAGTGTGAGTGGCCTTGTGTGGACATGGGGAATGGTGCTTCGCTGCCTTCCCAGACTGGTCTGGGTGTAGTTTGTCTCCCTTAAGTACGTTATTTTCACAGGTGAAATACCTGACAGGGAAAAAAGGCAGTGCAAGAGGAGGACACAAACTAACAAAGCTATTCTCACTTTCTCAGCTCTCACTAAGAAAGCGGCCTCGGGTTTGTTCCTAGCAGTGAAGTGCAATGGTGGCTGCCTCTGCTTTGCTGGGCTGTGGCCGGCTGTGTGGCTGGAGCCCGCAGGCTGGCCACTTCTCCTCCAGGACTGAAGCTTGCAGGGCTGCAGGGTTAATGCACTTCGGCTCAAGTTGGAGGATGTGCAGAGCTGCCTGACAGATGAGTTGGAGCATGCTGTCACTTCATTCCCTGGAAGAGAGAAAGCAAGTAGGACCTTACAGGTTTTTTTGTTTTGTTTTTTTCATATTTCAGCAATGATTACAACTTCAAAAGTAAGAAAATAAATGTGAGGACTTGAGGTGTGCTACGTGGCTGTCACCTGTGTGCAGTGTCTCAGCTCTGGGTAGTTGTACGGCTGTTGATGTGTCTTCTGTGTTGGCAGGGAGCAGTAAACCTGTCGGCTTGCTGGGGTGCGCTGCAGGAGAGGAGGTGAGCTGGGCCGGCGCTGATGCTCCTGTGTGGACAGTACAGTGTGAGCTGAGGCTGCTTTGGTTTGTGTCGGTTCCCTGCCCTAGGGTGTGAGCTTGCACATAGTTACTGATAAGTGTACTTGAGCTGTTTGATCTTCACCCGCGAGATGCTGCTACAAAGGTCATCATAACACTAAGAGGTGAGGGAGCGGTATTTTACTTGCACATTCTTTACTGGGCAGAGTGAAGGCAAATGAGAGATGGAATTGGCTTTACTGCAATCTTTCAGTTCAGCAATTTGAATTAGCGCGTGCCCAGTTGTGTTTGGGATTTGTACTTGACAGGCTGCAGGATTTCCGCTGTCTCGTATGGAGGGCAATGAAAAGACGTGCTTCTGTCCTTTCTCCTAAGAAAGTGCCTGCAGGTCTGTGGCTCAGTGAGATTGCGTGGTACTTGCAGGGCAGCGATGCGGAGGAGGGAGGGAAGCACGTTGGGACAAGATGGCCATTGCTACTTCTGTGCTTTATTTGTGCAGCAGTTCCTTTTAACAGTGGGCCACTGTTTACCTTTGTCAGACTTGGATGAAGGTGCTAAAAGGGGCGGCTGCTCTGCAGATCGCTTGTGGGCTGCTGTTAAAAGCTGTTTTCCTGTGGAAGTGCATCTTCCCCTGCTGTCCTGTCTGAGCCGCGTCCATGTCCGAGCTGTGACCTTGAGCGTGGAGGTCCTGGGCCAGTTTGGCGGTGGCAGCGAGGATGCAGACAAGTCCCAGGGTTGAAATACTATCCCAAAATACAACTCAAAACTAAATTTCTGGTAACTACATGAGTAAGGCTGTATGCAGAGCTGCTGCAAAGCCTTCTTGCACGTGGCCTGCAGATCAAAAAATCCTGCCAGCTTTGACACCCCTATTGAAAGTGTGGGTGGAAGGGGGAGGCGTACATCGCTTGCATTGTTACCGTGGCGAGGCAGACTCTGTGCTGTGTCTTAATGAGTACGTGCACCTCTCTTGAGCGACAGGCTGTGCCACGTGCGTTTACTGGCACATCTGGGAATTGTTTTTCTTCAGTGCACAATTTCTGCCGTGAATGTGGTGAGCTCATGCCAAGTGGTTGGGCAGTAAGGGTAAGTACTCTCATCCTCCAGTGACTGCTGAGTTACCTGGCAGGAAGAATAAGCTTTGCTGCAGCCATGATATGAGAAGGATCCCTTGGCATGTCTGGGAGAGGTCACGGGCAGCGTCCTGCTGCAGGTGAGCTGGGGGCAGGAGCGGGGACCGCGCTCCCTGTGCTGGGATGGTGGGGGAATGGCCGTCACGCGCACCCAGCGCAGGTGGGCCGCGCGAGCGCTGTGCAAGAACGTGCATCTCGGAAGCGGTCTCTGTGCTGCAGAGGAGCCCTCAAGTGCACACCGTGAGGTCGCCGGAGTGCAGCACGCCAGAGCTGTTACCTGGAGTGCTGCTGCTCCTGCTCCTCTCTTCTTGCAACGTTTCCTTGCAGCACTTTCCCTCTGCTTTGGGAAAGCAGTTTCCTGGGCAGTAGCTGTTTTCAGTCTCTTCCTTGGTTCCTTATGTCTGAGAAGCGACTTACAGGAGGAGTGCTGCACGCTGTCATGCCCCCAGCTTTGATTGCAGGCTCCAGCTACTGAACATGTCTTGGCCAGGCAGTGAGGCTGGGGTTTTGGGGGGGCTTGTGGGGGGCTGGGAGGAGCTGGCAGTGAGTGGCCTGCTGGGTCCTGCAGGCTGCTGGCTGCTCAG